GATTATGAGAGATATCAGCCAATTCCTATGCCAATTGTACAAGAACCACAGGAACTCACCGCCGACGAGGTTGTCAAGGTGATAAATCAACTGCTTACTAGTCAGGAGACTAGGGAGCAAGAGGAAAGGGATCCACGGGATCTAGATGACTCCCAGCAACCAGATACCCAGCGGAATCAGCAGCAAAATCCCCAGCAAGAAGGGATAAATAGGGAGACTACCCCACTTCAGGGGGTGAATCGAGATATATCAATACCCTCACCGATAGTCTCACAAGCGATTCACCGAGTCCCCAAAATCCAGAAACCTCAAGCACCGCCAGGTGCTTTTCCAAGCGACGAAGACCTTCCTCCGCTGCCGATTACCCCGCCCCGAGAACGAGAATCCGAAGCCGATGCTGGCCCAGGTCAGGGGGTGGATATACCAGACGGAGACCTGACCCACCACGAAGCTATTTCTGAAGCTATTTCCGACGTGGAAGATGAGCTAGAAAGGCAGCTACAGGCAGAATTGCTAGCACCAAGCAGGGAGATCACCGGTGGAATTGACGCAAGCAATATTATCAGCGGCAAGCGAAGACGTCAGGCGAGACGAGACCAGGATTTCGCCTACTCCACTTTGGCTACAGAAGAAGACCCGCCAGGAGTACGACACGCCTTTGCAGCAGGCTTATACGCTGAGAAGCCAGAGATCCGGCGTCATCGAGATGATCTTCCACCAGTCCCTAAGCACTGGAAGGATGTTATGAATCATCCTTTCCAAGAAGGCTTCCTCGCAGCAATAAGAAAGGAGATCAATTCCTTAACCGAGAAGGATACCTACGAGGTTGCAGAAAGGCCAAAGGATAGAGGCAAGCAGATACTCCCCTTGCTATGGGTCTTTACGTACAAATTTGATGAAGATGGCTATCTTATCAAGCTAAAGGCTCGTATCTGTGTACGAGGAGATTTAGAAACCATTTCTCATGAAGAAAAGAGGGCTGCCACCCTAGCAGCAAGGACAGCAAGGATGATCTTCGCCTTAGTCGCTGCCTTTGACCTCGATTTAAGACAAAGAGATGCTGTGACGGCGTTCCTGAACAGCAAATTGGACAAGGATATATACACTTATATGCCTGAAGGTTTCCAGATTCCAGGCAAGTGTTGGAAGCTCCGCCGAGCTTTGTACGGTCTACGAGTCTCGCCTAGGCTATGGCAACAAGAAGCAGCCAGCGTACTCCGTAAATTAGGGTTACAGCAAGCACCTGAAGACCCATGTGTTTTTATAGGAGAAGGACTACTAGTCTTCTTCTATGTGGACGATATCTTGATCGCCAGCCACAGATCTGTACGGGAGAAAGCAAAGCAGCTTGAACGAGATCTAGAATCCCACTGGGAATTGACTGATCATGGAGAAGCAGCTTGGTTCCTAAATATCCGAATCATCAGGGATAGGGAGCAGAAGAAGCTATGGCTATGCCAAGATAGCTATGTGACAAGCATCGCGACTCGGTACAATCTGATAGATAGACCACCGGTTTATACCCCACTACCAGTCGTCGATTTGACCCCATTTCAGGGGGTGGCCACCCCGAAAGAGACCCTTCTTTACCAGCAAAAGGTGGGATCTGCTGGGTATGCCACCACTATCACGAGGCCCGACGCCGCAAAGGCCACCGCACGCCTAGCGCAATACCTAACAAACCCAGGTCCCCAGCACCAGCAAGCAGCTGATCGGGTGATATCCTACCTACATTCCACCCGGTGTCTTGCCATTGAATACGGTGTAGGTTCGGGGATAGACTCGGTGCAATTCGCAAGTGATGCTTCGTACGGGGATCATTCTGATAGAAAGAGCTCAGCTGGGTATATCTGCCAAGTGTACGGTGGCCCAGTGGACTGGAAGGCGAGCAAGCAACCCACAGTCACCACTTCCACCACCGAAGCCGAATTACTCGGGCTTTCCGAAGCAGCAAAGCAGCTTCAATGGTGGAGGAGACTACTTAATACCCTTGGTTTCAACCCCTCCCACGAATTGACCATCGATTGTGACAATGAGAGAACTATCAGCCTATTGAAGAGCGAGGATACAGCCTTCGAAACAAAGCTTAGGCACGTCGACATCCATCGCCACTGGCTGAGACAGGAAGTCAAAGAAGGGAGGATACAGGTGAAATGGGTGCCCACAGCAAGCATGGCAGCCGATGGACTCACGAAATTGCTTACTCGGCAAAAGCATGAAGCCTTCATTCAAATGCTTCATATGGTGGATATAGGCCACTTGATAGCATGAAGAAACAGAGATCAGTATGCCGAGGTGTGTGGGGTTCCAGCAATCCCATACTGGCATCGCTGAGGGGGTGTGTCGGAGCATACAGACCGGCATACCGGGGATTTAATTAATCCAGGTTGTGCAGTAATTTTGAATTAGTAATCCGTAATCCATATAAATTGCTAGGAAAAGGGATACTGAAATACAGAGATTTTAACACCATTGATTGGACCCATACATTTCAGGATACCAGTGTATTCGACAAATGGATCGGGCCTTAAAAAACCTGATCAGATCATATTTAAGCCATTGAGCGCGGCAGTCCGGCATACCAGTGATATCATAAGCCTAAAGTTGGGCTAGATTCAGCTGTATCTATGGATATACTTCGAAAATGTATGTCCACGCCTTTGGGAATCGTTCGGGCCGAGTTTTTGCCGCCCACATTGCAGCTGATTTTGACGAGTCATTTTCTGCCGTGCCGACTTTCCGGTGATCGTCCGGTCTATCTCGGAGATGGGTCGGCCTTGCTAGTATATACCTGACGCCATCGCAAGCCTCCATGGGAGTATAAGTATGAACCATGTCACCTTAAAGTATCTCGCACCATTACAATACTATCAAAAGTCTTTCGACACCAAGAGGCTCTCACATTCGTTATGTCTTCAACGATACCAGAAGAAGGGTCGGAGACCCCAGAGCCCTTGGATTCCCGCCATCTATCTATGGTGGAAACCAATGAGAGCCTCCGCAACCTGGGTATCACAGAAACTCCCCCACGATTGGATGTCAACTACCCGGTTATCGGACATGACACAGATCCTGTGTTCCCTGAAGAGTACACTGTCGAAACCAGTACTGGTCTTGTTCCCGAAAAGACCTTGGAGCAAATCCGATCTCGCCCTTCTACCTCATCCACAAAAGCTGGCACGCCGCCTGACACCGACGTCGAAAAAGGAGGGAATGGACCCACGGAGTTTGTGACCTTCACCATCGGTGATCCTGCACACCCCTACAATTGGTCCCGCGCGTATCGCTGGTACATCACTCTTGTTGCATCAGGACTCGTGGTCTGTGTCGCGTTCGGGTCCGCCATTGTCACTGGAGGATTGGGTTTGATTGAAGACAAATACAATGTCTCTCTTGAGGTTGCAATCCTGACATGTTCAATCATGGTCTGCGGATTCGCAGTTGGTCCTCTCCTCTGGTCTCCCCTCTCTGAGATCATTGGCCGAAGGCCTGTATACATCATCTCTCTCGGTTTATATGTCATTTTCAACATCCCATGCGCCCTGTCCCCAAACATCGGTGGCTTGCTCGTGTGTCGATTCCTATGCGGTGTCTTCTCCAGTTCAGGCCTTTCCCTCGCCGGTGGCACCATTGCCGATATCTGGAACATTGAGGATCGCGGTATGGCTATTGCTTATTTTGCTGCTGCGCCATACTGTGGTCCTGTGCTTGGCCCCATCGTGACAGGTTGGATCACCGTTGGAAGTGGGCGCTTGGACCTCTTCTTCTGGGTGAACTTAGCCTTCGCAGGTGCAATGATGATCATGGTCGGCCTTATCCCGGAGACATATACTCCAGTTATCCTCAAGCGCCGCGCCGCAAAGCTCCGCAAAGAGACCGGAAACCCGAACATCATGACCGAGCAAGAAAAGACAAAGCTCACTTTCCGAGAAATCGCTCGCACAAGCTTGATCCGACCAATCACTATGATCATGACCGAGCCCGTTCTCGACCTGATGTGCATGTATATCGTCCTGATTTACGCAATGCTCTACGCCTTCTTCTTCGCATACCCGGTGATCTTCACCGAGCTCTATGGCTACAACGACGGCCAGATCGGACTCATGTTCATCCCGATTTTGATTGGCGCCGGCTTCGCCCTAGTTATCACTCCAGCCATCGAAGGCAAATTCAAGAGAATTTGCCACACTCGACCCCCAACACCAGAAGACCGACTGCACGCAGCCCTGCTCGGTGCGCCTTTTATCTCGATCGCCTTCTTCATTTTGGGCGCTACCTCCTACAAGCATATCATCTGGGTTGGACCGGCTTCGTCTGGTATTGCCTTTGGCTTCGGCATGGTGCTGTGCTACTATGCAGTGAACAACTATATCATCGACTCGTACCAGAAGTACGCTGCGTCGGCTTTGGCAGCTAAGGTCTTCCTGCGATCTGGTGGTGGTGCGGCTTTCCCGCTGTTCACCACGCAAATGTACCATCGTCTTGGGTTGCAGTGGGCTTCCTGGTTGCTCGCTTTTATTGGACTTGCCATGATTCTTATTCCGTATGTTTTCTTCTTCTACGGAGCGAGACTGCGTGCAAAGCTCACTCGGGAGTGAGAGTATTGTTGTTTTTGTTTTCTTCCTCTTGATGGGAAAAATTCGAATATTGGGAAGCCCAAGATTGAATGGCGGAGAGAAAAAGAAAGATTTGATTTAGACACGAGTTAGACATGGTTTGAGGGTAATAGATTAATACTATATTTAATGTTAGAGCATCACAATAATATTGGTTCGAATCACTTCGTGCAAAATTAAGTGCTAGTACGAGGCTGTATAGGGACCGGGGTTCAAACCCCCCATATTTGATAATGGGACATAGTAAAATACATTGTGTACGTACCCTGCGGCGTATGCGGCGTAACATCACACGGTTTATGGTGCTCGTATTTTTCCCCCTCTTTTTTCCAATTCATTTCGGAGCTACTAAACAGGGCTATGGAAAGAGAACACTCAACATTCCTATTCTCCTTTCGCCTCATGTAAACGTTGAGCAAGCACTTGACAAGGCCAGCCTCCTTCGAGACTCAAGGTTTCGAATCGCTTAAATCCTTGAGACTCATAGTATTGGACCAATTTGCCGTCGTCACCTGCATAGCAGTCCACCCGTAGCAATGAGACTCCAATCTCTTTGGCAACCTCACGTGCATGGTCCAAAAGACGTTTGCCAACCCCCTTCCCAGCGCATCGTCGATCCGTGATTAATAGTTGCACGTAAAGCTCAGGCTCAGGGACAGCTGTCACATAAGGCATCTTCTCTCCAATAGCAAGTGCTCCCATGATGGAGCGCGGAGCTTCTCCGTTGATAGGTTCGGGGGTGAGTTGGAGGATCGATTTTCATCCACTGGCGTGCCATCTGCAACCTTGACGGCGAGCCAAAGGCCATGTCCGGTTCTTACAAATCCTTTGAGTTGTTCAGCGCGTCGTGGGTTCTCCGAAAACGGTGATGTTCCCCATTGCCCAACCCTGCCATGAGATACCAGCCATTTGACTGTGGCATCTAGGATATCGAGGACTGCCGGAATGTCGTCCACTGTTGCCCGCACGATATCAATGTCATGGGTTTCATTATGAATAGTACTTTGAAGACTTTTAGCGAATATCGGTGAATAGGCTGTCACTTTTGTTCTTTATTGATATTATCCCCTTCCCATCTGCTTATTCTTAGGTGGATTGGGTTTTCAAACAATAGAACTTACTTTGATGCCATTTTTCCAATCAGAAGTGATATAAAGACGGGTAGTTGTCGAATAGCCTCAGTGCGGTGAACTGATTCGAAGATTTTGTATCTGACAAGGCATCATCTTACTTTAAATATTTTACTTCACGCTAAGGTAGGGAAGAGCCTCTATCTCTCTCTTACTTCCGGGCCATGTGTGCAAATCCCATTGGCTGAGTCTGCAATTTTCAGTGCAGTGGCGTTCGGAGGTTGGTCATAGTGCGAATAATTCATATAATGAGCACCAATCAAATTCCAGCACTTCTGTGTGCGTCATAAATTCCTCGTCTACTTTTGAAGATGATATAGAGCAATAACAATATAAATATATAGGGGTCTAGAGGGATCCCTAAATTATCCTGAGGGGGTTATGTGGCGATCACATAATCAATCCTTTTAGGGGCAAAAACGAAGGGAGTATGGATTCATTCTGTACTATTATACTCCAGCAATGATATACTTGTGGTTATTGGAAGCTATGTGTATATGTAATTTTTGACCTCTAAACCTCCGGACATTTCCTGATGGCAACCCTGATATATCCGTTCATTGGAGTCCCTTTAAGGCGCATGTGCTCATTAATCTGTTTTCACAAATATGCATTTACATCTCCACTTTAATTCAAACAAATTTTTATCTTAGGCTATCTATTCTATCTGTTTAGGACAGCCTTCGTCTACGGCAAATACCGTAAGCCTTAGTAGATGAGAAATCTATAAGCTTGTTCGGAGTTCCCGAGGCCCTGAGGTCGGTTCGGGCCGATGAGTTATCAAATGCAACCCTTGGAACGCTTATAGTCAACGAACTAAGAAGATATTATTGATTTCGAAAACTACTATAATTCGCTTGTCAATGCCCATCTATTAAATGATGCAAATTCTCTAGATGCTGTTGTCTAGGCCGCCATGCGTTCAACACGAAGCTGCAGGTCCTTGACCATATCCACCCCAGCCTTCGTAGCCTCATCCAGGTTCTCCTCCGGCAATCCAAGCAGCTCATTCTGCGCCTTGGCCGAAAAGTCACTCGAATCCTCCGGGTAAAACGCCCTGGCGTACAGCAACTTGCCAAAACCAGCCATGTTACCAGCTCTAACTTGCGCCAGGCCATCCTCATATCGCTTCTTGCTGGCCTCGTGGGTAACCGTCCAGTTGGCGTCAGTAGTACCCGTAACGCGCTTAACGCTCTCGAACATGTCGTTTTGGCTGACCACGAAGCTCTTGATGTACACACCCTTGTTGAGGAAACCTGATAGAGTAAGACTCTTGTCGCTTTCGTCCTCGGGAAGCTCCTTGAGGCTCAGCACTTTGGCCACGGCGTGCCCAACCTGCGACAACGTCGACGTCGAGCTTTTGGTGTTGCCATTGTCATATATTGTCAGGGAACGCTTGTCAAAGTCGAACCCAAAGCGCGTCTCGCCGCCTGCCAGGCTGTAATCGTACCAAAACCCACAACACATGGTGATCCACTCCATGCCGAGCCTCTCAATCTCGTCCCGGTTGGCCTTGCTCACGGGACCCAGCATTGTCTCCTCCCCGAGTTTGATGTTGTCAATGTCGCCGCCGTACGCGTTAGGCATGACGTAGGGAACACCAGCCTTGGCGGCTGCCTGGACGAGCTTGCTGTGGGTGTCCCGGGGCGCGGTGGGGGCCATAGTGATGATAAAGAATTGCTGGTCCTTTAAGGCGGCGACAATGGTGGCCTCGTCGTTGTAATCAACTGGGGCGACGAGGACACCCTCGGGGAGTTTGTTGGTGCTGCCCTTGCGGGAGAGGGCCGTGACGGTGTGTTTTCCGGTTTTCAGGAGGGCGTCGGTGATGCGTGATCCAATGGTGCCTCCGGCCTAAGGGTGTTTGTTAGCGTTGTTGTGTGTGTACGTGGTGTTGTTGATGGTTTACTCACACCGACAATGGCGACTCTCTCGATGGCATTTTTGAAGCCGACGGGCTGGCTGTTGGCGTACTTGGACATTTTGGCTATTTTTGAACAAAACCTCAAACTCATTGAAGTGTATCAACTGTTATGATGGTCGAACGTGGTTGAGATTTGTAGTTGCTTGGGATGGTATTCCACCCTGAAGCAGAGGATGCCCGTCCATTTATACATTTCAAACTCGGTCTTGAAATCTCTCTATTTCTGTGATCAGACTCGGAAATTTCGGACTATTATTCTCTATCTCGTATATCCGACTTAATCTGGCCAGGCCTTCAAACTTGATTCGCCCGGAGATAATGGCGTCCATGAGCCACGGAGAAATGGCAAGCAATCAACAACGAGGGCAACGTCTATATCGCCGCTGTCGCCGCGGCGGCCGCAGCAGCCGCACGCAGGGGTCCACTACAATATGACCCTGACACCGTCGGACAGCGGTCGATGGGGGACCTGCCCCGCAATAGCCGCAGAAGCCGCACCGCACCGAGCCGCATGAAGACAGTCTGCCAGTGATGATCCAACTACGGACTGACGGAGCCCCGAGCATGTCTCCGCAACGCTAAGATGATGAGGAAAATCCTTAACAGGAGTACAGATTTATACATACTCCACTGGGCCTCGCAGGGCTGACACATGGACATAACGCGCATTGTCGACAACGCCATTATCATGCTGGCTAAACAAGATAGTAGTCCTAGCAATTGGACTAACCCGTCATTTGCGTCTCATTCCGCCTTGATCAACCACAATCTCTTTGTAGGTAAAAGACGACACCCCGCTTGGCGAGTCGTCACATGCCCACGCGCCCTGTGATCGCCCAACACCGGGGCAAGCACCCTCCGAAGCTTCAGAGGACCACCACAACGGCGCTGATGCTTCGCGTGCCTTCTGCTTTGTGGGGCATCATCAGTCCAAAGCGTCTGGGGAAATGGCACAGGAAACGAGCCAAACACATGACAGGCATGTTCAGATGCTAATTATGGCCAGTTTACATAAATACAATGCTGAGCTTCATTAGGCCATTTCAGAATGCCACTCCATGTTGTGATGGGTTGCATGAGTGCAGTAAATCAATGTGCAACGACCCTGTGCCACTACAACTGCATGTCAGGACCGAGCATCGATAGATATGGTTCAACGAGGAATTGGTCCCAGTCCTCCCCCCAACCCATGTCTGGAAAAGCGGTGTTGACCTCGGACTCCGGCTGCGCCTGGAAGGTTTGATAGCTCGCCTCTACAGCTTCCAGATGAGCAAGCTCGTTTCGCTTCTTTGCCATATTGAGGCTGAGTAGATGCTGCGCCATTGACAATGCCTTACGCGTCAGTCCTGTGTCAGCAGCCTTGACCAGATTCTCCAAGCCCTTGAAGGCAGCAGCGATGTGAACGGAGGCGGCCGGTGTGTCGATGGCCAACAGAACGCAGGCATACTGGAAGACGCTGCCGATGACGTTCCAGAACATATGACCCTGGTTAGCTAGCTGCTCCGCCGCTTCCACCGCGGCATTTCCGATATCAATGACGAGCCGAATGATCTCGTCTGATATACCCATCTTGAGCTGGTAAATGCGTCGATAGAAGCAAAACGCCATGTCCGCCTTAGTCACTATCAGGAATGGATGGGTGACTTGGAGCTTATCCAATGCCTTGAGGCGCTCAAATAACTCCTCCCTCGGCGTTAGAGGCTGACATTCGAGGTGGAACGGGGAGTTGGGAGCCGGGATAATCTGGGCTATTTGCACGAACTGGTCAGCAACGGACCCTGCTGTCGGGATGATAGCCTCGCAAGTCACGGCCCCAAATTGTACAGACGAACGATCGTACTCATAGCACAGCATGTTATGCCCGGCCCACGAGATCCAGAAAATTCGCCTTAGGCGGTCCGCATCATGTCCAACAATAGCGGCGCCGGCGACGGACGCCAGTTTCTTGATGTTCTCTTCCTCGTGTAGCCCGACTGCTTCGCAGAGGTGCAAGGCGGTGCACGACGCGACCCAGGCAGTATTAGGGCGTGTTGTGGCCCGTAGGTACAACACACGCATGGCCCACGCGATGATGTGGTCAATGCCTAGCATGCGCATTGAGACTGGATCATCGAGAATAGCTTTGGCGTACTGCACTAGGTCAGACTCCCGCGGGTGTCTGTTGGGGGATAGGAAAGACCCGAGAGCAGCGACGCCAGCGGCCACGGCGCCAAAGGCGACCGCGGTGCTGCCGGAGCCATGGTAATAGTCCCGACATCGCTGAGCGTAGATTCTCGGATCCATATAGTCGGTGATAGGGGCCATTACCGAGAAGTACACACCGGAGAAGAAGCCGAGGTCGTCCTCCGAGATGTGCTTCCCCAGCAAGCCATGAGCGTTGGGAGCCTCCTCAGGGCGGATGCCAAAGTTGTAGGCAAATGAGTGCATCTTGGGAGGGCTGTCAGAGCCGAGGGCCTCGCTCAGGATGTGCGGGAATGCCATGGCCGCCGATGCCCCGGCATATCTGGATTTCTGCTCATCGAAGATGCCGGTGGCCGTGGTGGTGGGTGCTGACGTGCCTGCCACGACGGTAGGACTCTTCGACGGGCCGTCAGCTCCGCGGGGATCATGCGCTACATAAGACCAGCTGCCCGGGCTACGCGATGTGGCGA